GGCCAGCATTTGTGCATTTGAAACTCTCAGCACTGAAAAGGATGAGAGTTTCAGTCATACAATGATCAAACACCCATCCCTCCAACAGTGCACATTTTCCACCACCAGTGTCCCCAGTATTACACACACACAACCCTTTCCAACCCTTCCCCTGCCTCCGTAGCACTGCAGCACTGTTGTTCATCGATTTGCTCGAGCAGGCCCAGTAACGTCTCCACTGTGAGACTTGTTACTGTGTTTGGCATATCAAATACATCATGGGTAGCTTTCCAGGCTTTGCCATGCGGGCAAGATACTCTAGGTAGCTTGCCGGGCTCTCTGAGAGGGGTGGAGAACCTGGGTCAGCCAAGTCAGCTACGTGCAAGGCAAAACGTCCTACCCGCTGTGCTATCGCTCCATCCCTGCCTCTATGGCAGACAATTTCCCCTTACTCTCTCTCTCTACTTTTGGGCATTATGGTTTGCAATAATGCCCATGAGAGATCATCATGTTTGGTCCTTTGTGTACTTTCAGCACACATCGCCCATTCCGAACAATCCCGCCAACCATCATTGACTTAGTGATCCCTTCTCTATTCCAGCTGCCTTCTCTCCCAGCTCATGAGACAGGCTTCCAACTATGGAGCAATATCCTGGCCCTTGTGTCTACTGTCCTTGAACTGCTCCGTTAATATAAACTTCTATTGAAAAATCTCCATGTAAATTGTCTGTCAGAGACAGGGGGAGAGTTGGAAGGCGGGGGGTGGGGGGGGAATGTATACTGGGGACAATGGTGGTAGAGAATGTGCACTGGAGGAGGGATGGGTGTTTGATCATTGTATGACTGAAATTCAAATGTTTTGTAACTGTATTAAAAAAAATGGGAAAAAGAAAAATCTTCCTGTTTCAGCTACATATAAATTATGACCTTCCCAAATCAGGCCTGGTAAGCAGCCAATCAACTCTGTATTATGTCTTCCTCCAACAGATCTCAATTTAAACTCTGAAAATGAAGAGTTCCCCCCCCCACCCTTTCTTCCATGCATCAGTAATATTCTATTTCAGCCAATAATTTCCTTTTGCTGTTTTAACCAAATTTACTCTTTTCCAGAATTAAAGACCAGAAGTCCATCAGTTTCACAAGGCTAGATTTTTTTTTTTCCTTCAGAAAGTTCCAGGGAGAATCTGTTTCTTTGTCTTTTCTAGCTTTTGGAGTCCTCTTGCATTCCTTGGCTCATGAGCCCTTTCCAGTGTTAGTCCAACCAAGTCTCTTACTTCCTCCATTGTCACAGCTCCTCTTCTCACTCTATGCCCAAGTCTTTCTCTGTCTCCCTTTTACAAAGACTTTGGTGGTTGCAATAGCACAGCAGTAGGGCATTTGCCTTGCACGCAGCCAGCCCAGCCGAGCCAGGTTCGATTCCTCCGCCCCTCTCGGAGAGCCCAGCAAGCTACCGAGAGTATCTAGCCCTCACGGCAAAGCCTGGCAAGCTACGTGTGACATATTCAATATGGCAAACACAGTAACAACAAGTCTCAAAATGGAGATGTTACTGGACCCGCTCCAGCAAATCAATGAACAACGGGAGGACAGTTTGTTTTGTTTGGTGGTTGCATTTCGGTTTTGTTTGTGTCTTATTAGGAGGAAGAGACAGGCATACCTAGCAGTGCTCAAAGAGCTTAGTCCTGGCTCTGCATTTAGGGGTCACTCCTGGTGGCGTTTGGGTAACTACTGGGGGTGCTAGAGATTTAACCCAGGACAGCCATGTGCAAGGCATGACCATACCCTCTGTACTAGGTCTCTAGCTCCTCCTGTCGCTGTACTTAGGACCCACTCCCATAATCTAGGATGTTTCCGTAATCTCAAATTCCTGAATATAATTGCATCTGCAGTCTCTTTCTAAAACAGGTTCTAGGGATTAAGCCTGGCTATCACCAGGGGCCATTATTCAGCCTGCCTAATTTTCAAATCCATTATCTTTTCAGTTCTCATCCTAGTTCTCCAGACACAGTTGTTACTGCTATTCTGGAAGGGAAAAACAGTTTCATCTAATTTCAAAATCTAGATATGTTTCATTGACAGTAAATCTCAATCGTCTTTCACTCTAGCAAAAAGCCCTTGCAAAGGAACTGTCTTTACTATTTGTTTCTCTCTTCCCAGTGCATAGCATGATTCATGTCCCCACTACTCCCATTAAGTAGGATATGAGTGAACTTCCCAATGGTTCCTTGGGATTTCTCTTGAATATGGTAGGAGGGTACCCCCTTCAATGAGTTGGCTATATATATGCCAAAGCTAATGTGGGATCATTGCCAGTCATGTTTTCTGCCTCTGCAGGGTGGGCAGGAACAATGAATTACATACCACATGATCCCAAGTGAGTCCATACCTGAGTTCCTGACCAAGAAGGGTTCCTTCTCTACCTTCTAATCAGTCAACATATGTCTTGGGTGAAGCATAGTTCCTCTTTGGGAAGTTTAGAATAGAGAATCTAGAACACTCAGACTTACTGTGTTGCTGAGCAGATCATCGGGAATGACGGGCATAAGCAAGCTACAGTTGAGAGGTTAGCTGGGAGACAGCAGGGTGAAAAAAAGGCAAGGAACCGTGAGAGGCTGTGGACTGCTTCTGTTGTTAAGATCACTTCCTGAGGCCTGGCCAAACTGTGAGTCCTATTGTGAGTTTCTATGACACTGCTGTTTTATTACAAACAATAACCCTAGCATGAGTGAACCCTGGCTTCCTATAATAAATTGGCCAGTTATATATTCCAGGAAGCCCTTTTAATGTTATTGAGGAGGCATCTGGAAGAAATCAACACTATAACGTCTCTAGAGCATCAGCATGCTATCCCAAGTGCAATGTTTACACCAGTTTTAAAGCATGGGGTTGTGGAGGTCAAGGTTACATGTGATGAGGGTCCTTTGAGAGTAAGAGTGTATTATATGATAAGCTCTTATGCCAAAACTCATCCTTGTAGAAAAACAATTTTATCACCACAAATGTAGCTTCAGAAAGAAAACTTATATGACACATCTCATATGAAAATGGGGGGTGGAGCAGAAAGATAGGACGAGAGTAAGGCTCTTGACTTGCATATAGCTGAGTTCAATCCCACACCCCATATGGTTCCACAAGCCCCTCAGGAATGGTCCCTGAGCACACAGCCCAAAACAATCCCTGAACACTGCTGGGCGTGGCCCCAAAACAACACAAAACAAAAATTTTTTAAGAAAATTACTATAAGAGGGGCTGAAGCGATAGCACATTAGGTAGGGCATTTGCCTTGCACACAGCCGACCCGGGTTCGATTCCCAGCATCCCATATTGTCCCGAGCACCGCCAGGAGTAACTCCTGAGTGCAGAGCCATGAGTAACCCCTCTGCATCGCCAGGTGTGACCCAAAAAGCAAAAAAAAATAAAAAATAAAATAAATAAATAAAACCCCTGACCTAAAATTTGACATACCTGTTGTTCTCTCATTCCATGCATTCAGTGATTTTCTACATTAAAGTATTCATGTTTCCAAGGCCCAAATCTCAGGACAGCGTATGTGGGCACCCAATGTCGAGGTCATACAGTCACAAATAAACACTCAGCGTAGCGAAAGTGCCAGGCAGTGCAGAGTATTGGGTTCAAGTCAAAGGGACAAGTATGGGTCTTGAGGGTGGGCCACTCAAGGTGTAACTTCTCCTAGACCTCATCGGTCATCCCGAAGGGAACACAGCACCCAATCTGCCTATCCATCGCTTCACTGTGGGAGGGCATCATCAGTTGGACTCAGCAGAACACACTTTGGCCCTTGGCCATAGACGCATACATTATGATTCAGGCAGATTTTTTTTTTCAACAGAGTTGTCCTCCCTTCCATGACCAGAGTTCACACCCAGATTCAATTAAATATAAGAAAATCTTTTCTCTTATAAACACTCCTAACTTGGCATAGCTGATTGGGATATGAGACTTGAAAGAGCCAGGCTGATTTCTGCACAGCTATTTAAACCAAGGTGTTTAAGGCGTAAGATTGAGTCTTACCGAACATAAAAGTTTAGATTCATCATAGAGACAGGAAAAAATTAAACATGGATAGGTTAACAACTAAAACGTGATAGCAGGGAGATAGTACTTCAGAAACTCATTCCACATTTGTCAAAAGTATTTTATTTAAAAAAAAACTTTAATCAGAAAATCTGACTAAATTCAATATTAACTTAAAACTCTCAAAAAAACAATATTGAGGAAAAGCCAACAGGTGCATCAGACAAAAGCAAGCACAGCTGCTGACAAGTCTTTGGTGGGAAGTGAGTTGCATACGTATACAAGATGCCCTGATGATTATCAGGTCCATGATTTGTTTTTCAAAAACAGGTCTCAAAATACAGCAAAGAAACCATACAGACACCACCTCCAACAGTACAAAAATGAAGTGTGAAGATCGAGGAAAAGCCAAGTATTACACTGAACACGAATCATTTATAAAATAAGCCTTTCAATCCTAAGATATTGGTATGGAGCGTCCCCAAATATGATAAGATATGTATGTAAACCAGAGCTAACAGCAAACAGAACAACCCGGAACACCTTCCCAATGACTAAGCTATAAAATGACAGCTTACAACACCAATGACATGTTGCTTGTGTAGTTTTTCTTCGGGTTTTATAAATTAGGGTAAAACCTTTTCTACTCAGTTGCCATTGTTTCTTTACCTGTTCCCCCAATTTTCTCTGGCAACATTTTTTCCTTTGGTTTGATCAGTTGAACTCAAAGAGGTTTGAAACCGAAAATGAGTATCAACTCCAATTGGAACAGCACTTGGGAAATGCAATCCTCCAAAAAGGCTAACTGTACGGGAAGTAGCTTGACACAGTTCCGCATCCATGGGCAGCCTGACTCTATTGTCCCCATGTGAATCACTAGGCTTCTGGATTTTCTGGCAAGATAATGAGCCAGCACAGTAACTGGCAGCCTCCAGGTGAGGTACTACAGAGCTGTATGTGCAAACACCCACCCTCTGAAGCTCTCAATAAATACAAAGCATTTATTTTAAAAACCATTTCAGTAGAATAAATAAAAAATATTGCATTCCTAATCGTCTGCTATGCTTCTCAGCCGCCTGCGAGTGCTGTTCACAAGGCAAAAAGCACAACAGTTAATTAGTCGCCACTCCACGCTCCTTGGGCTTTAGTACTTCCCGTTCTTCAAGTCTCAGCACTTTTTTTGCAGCGATAATGGTGTTTTTCATTAGCATTGCCACTGTCATGGGACCAACACCTCCAGGGACTGGGGTAATATAGCCAGCTTTCTTCCTGACACCTACAAAGAAGCAAAAGATGCAGAGGAATATGGTATGTATTTGAACACATAGAAGCATTTGAAGAAAATCAATAAAATGCATAAGCCCCTTTGGAAGCTAAGACTCATGAAAAATAAGATAGGATTATTCAAGAGTAAAGACTTTTTTTGTTGGGGCCGGAGCAATAGTACAGCAGGTAGGGAGTTTGCCTTGCACGCAGTCAACCCGAGTTCAATGCCCAGCACCCCTTATGCCCCCCCCGCCCCCCCAGCACCATCAGGAGTAATTCCTGTGTGCAGAGCCAGGAGTCACTCCTGAGCATTGCCGGGTGATACCCAAAAAAATGAAAAGAAGAAAGGCTTTTTTTGTTGCTTTTTGGTTTGGTACCACACCAGCAACGCTCAAGGGTTATACCTGGTTCTACACTCAGGACTTACTTCCCTCTCAGTGGTGCTCAGGGGACCTTATGGGATGCTGGCGACCAAACTAAGACCAGACACTTGCAAGGCAAAAGCCCTATCCTCTGTAATGTCACTGCCCTACCCTCTGTACTATCACTCCAGCCCCTCATCACCATAATGGAAAAAGAGGAATGGCTTAAATACTAAGCTTGAGTCAGATTCTTTCAATACAAATAGAAAGCTAAAATAGGACTACGAGCAAAAGATTCAGATAGTCATGACACCTTGAGGAAAGTATCAAGGGGAGAAAAAAACTATTAGCATATTACATAATTTCACAACTATACCTTTACTTGGATCATTTATAAACACTCCAGTAATAATGGAAATTTTATGGTTTGGCATAGTATATTCCCAGTTATGATCTCTCTTCTTACTCTGAAAATAAGAAACCTATACAGCTTTTTTTTCTTTTTTTTTTCTTTTCGGGTCACACCTGGCGATGCTCAGGGGTTACTCCTGGCTCTGCACTCAGGAATTACTCCTGGCAGTGCTCAGGGATGCTGGGAATTGAACCAGGGTTGGCCGCATGCAAGGCAAACGCCCTACCCGCTATGCTATTGCTCCAGCCCCTACAACTTTTAAGAAGCTCAATAACTTAGGAAAATCACAACATCACATTTTAAAAATTGTGGAAAGCCATAAGATAATTTATTAAATAACCTTAAGGAAAAATAATTCCCTGAAAAGTATATCTCTTCTCACCAAAATTTTTATAATACAAACACCTACAATAATTCAAGAACGGTTGTAATTTTTTAAAAGATCTCTCTTGGGGCCAGAGAATTACATTACATTACATTACATTACATTACATTACATTACATTACATTACAGGGAAGGCACTTGTTTTGCACACAGCCAATCTAGGATCTATCACCAGCACCCCCATTGGTCACCCAAGTCTGCAAAGATGACCCCTGAGCATAAAACCAGAAGGACTGCTTGATATAGCAATAAGAAAAGAAAAAAATTTTTCTCTTGGACCAGGAGCTAACTCAAAGGGCTAATATAGGGGCTGGAGCAATAGCACAACGAGTAGGGCATTTGCCTTGCACGCGGCCGACCCAGGTTCAATTCCCAGCATCCCGTATGGTCCCCTGAGCACCGCCTGGGGTAATTCCTGAGTGCAGAGCCAGGAGTAACCCCTGTGCATCACCGGGTGTGACCCAAAAAGCAAAAAAAAAAAAAAGGCTAATATATAATTTTGTCTGCCAAAGGCCCAGGTTTAGTCCCCAAAACCAAAAACACAAACAAACAACAACAAAACAGAGGCCCAGGTTTAATTCCTGATACTTTATGTCCCCCAACCACTTCCAGAAGCAACCTCTAAGCATGGAGTCAGGTATGGGCACAAAACACCAAAAAAAGATTTATCTTAATTCTTTAGAAAGCATTTAAAATTTTACCTGCAGTGACATAACTTGAAAAGTTATGGAAAAAGTAAATAATCTACCCTAAATGTCCATTTAAGGCGGTATTTACTAAGTTTACATATTTTAAAAACTAAATTCCATTTACCTTCAAAATCCACATCTCCAACCAACTTGGGTTTACCAGTGACGGGATCTTGAACTCTGTTTATTCCCACATCAATAACAGCAGCTCCTTCCTTAATCATATCTGCTGTGATAAGATTTGGAATGCCTGGAAAGAGACAGGAATGGGCGATTTAGTACTGGAAAGTAGATTCTGGGAGGGTGGAGTCCAACTGCGCGAACAGGAAGAACTTGCTCTACCTGAAACTCTGACAAACCAAGCAAACAAAGCTTTCACAAGAACAGGAGCACCAGATGGACTGAAGAGACACCGCCACCTTTGCCAACGGAGCCCCTTGGGACTGGAAAGAGTACAGTGGGTAAGGAACTTGCCTTGCATGTGGCCCACCCGGGTTCAATCAATTCATTCCCTGATTGGAGACTGATCCCACAACTGTTTGTCCCATAGTATCCTCCCCAAGCCCATTAGGTGTAATCCCTGAATGCAGTGTCAGGAGTAACTCAAGATCAACAAACGAACAGAAACAAAGCAAAACAACAACACTGAAATGCAACCCCCCCCCCAAAAAAAAAACCTAAATAAATAAAAATCAAAGATAAAGAATCCTAATAACATTAAGAGGAACACAAAGAGTCACATATAGAGGAACGCCTGAAGACTTCTCAACAGGAAACTGTACAGGACAGGAGACATGACATATACAAAATCCTAAACGGGAAAGTTCTCTAGTTAAAATTATGGCTCAGATCTGAAGAAGGAATAAAGACCATTGCAGACAACAGTTAAGACCCATTGCCACCAAATGGGTCTGTCAAGAAATATTTAAGGGACTTCTATACAAGGAAAAGAAACCCCACTTGAAAAGGTACCAAAACAACACAAAATGTGGGAGAGACTAAGTTTTCTATTTTCAACCTTAGTGAATATTTACTAAAGAATTTTCAATTTTAGGGGCTGGAACACAGCACACCAGGTAGGGCGTTTGCCTTGCACGCGGCCAATCCAGGTTCGATTCCCAGCATCCCATATGGTCCCCTGAGCACCGTCAGGAGTAATTCCTGAGTGCAGAGCCAGGAGTAACCTCTGAGCATCACCAGGTGTGACCCCCCCAAAAAAATTTTTTAATTTTAGATACTGTAATGTTCAGTTATAAGATTTATATTCAGTTCTCTTTAGTTTGGGTTTTTGTTTTTTTTTTAATTCTTGCTGGATTTGGGGCCATACCTGGTGGTGCTTATTTACAGAATTTTCAATTTCCGATACTGTGACGTTTGCTTATAAAATTGATATTCAGTTCTCGTTCCTTTTTTGATTTTGGGGGCCACACCTAGAGGTGCTGAGTGACTACCGCAGCTCTATGCCCAGGGTCATTCCCATTGAAACTCAGGGAACATGCGGGCCTGGGGATCCAAACCAGGCAAAGCAAACCAGGCAAAGCACACGCCCAGCCGACTGAGCTGTCTCTCTGGCCCTCAGTTCTCTTTAAACAGATCTTATGTCTCTTTCGAGATTCTACATAGGCAATCATTTATTGGAAGTACATTTCCTAAGAACTACAACATAATATTTCCTACGCCATCACTAAATGCTCTTAAAAAATAAATGTTTGATGTTTTTTTCTCAGTTAACATTTGGTTCACATCAGAATTAGTCTACAGTGATTTTTCTCCCCTTTCTGAGAATGGGTCAAGTTCCCCTAATTCTGCTTTTGTTGAATAATTTTGGATAGTGCCACAATAGTCAGCTATTTAATGACACAAGTTTTTAGAGTCTTCTGCTTAGAAAACACAGCCCACATTTAGAAAATTTTTCCTTATTCCTGTATAGCTTTGGAAGCCAAGAAAAGTCCCTCTTACCAACCACAAACCATACAGTATTTTCTCTTTGTCTAGCCCTCTGAATCATCTCCCCAACTCTCTCATATTTGTACTGTGTAATCCCTTTCTCGGAGCTGTGTAAACTCCTTAGCTCAGGTGACGCTATCAGGGATTACACATTAACTGATGTTCTCAGGCTCTCCGGGCGGCTCTCTCTTGCCGCCTGCGTTCAGTGCTCTCTCTCAAACTGCTTCCCCACCCGGGACGGCCGTTGCCATGGGCGGAAGAAGGCGGAACTAAGGCCAAGCTGGCTGGTGATCAGTTGCCGTTTATTTCATCTCTCGTCTCTCCCAAACTCTCCACAACTCTCTCACTCTGGTCACAACTCTCTCACCCAACACACTCCACAACTCTCTCCATCTCTGCCCTCCTTACTACTCTCTCTACCTTTCTCCACAGCTCTCTCCAACTCTCACTTTATTCCCAATTCTGCCCTCAGCAACCCTCTCTCCAACTCTAATTCGCAATTCCTCTACCGCACCCAGCTCGGCTCCCAGCAACTCTGTCAACCTCCTCTTCTCTCCTCTCTAACCATGCCTCCCAAACCACACTCCTCCCCACCCCCAGGGAAGCACAATCAACATGTTTATCAAGCCTTCCTGACCACCTCTGACCACCTGCAGCCCACAAGGGCAAAACAGCACTTAAGGTGTGTTTCTCCTCTCCTTAGACCAGTAACTTAATTTAACATCTTGATTCTCCTTCCTAATAACTCGCCATTCTGTATGGACAAGTAATAGACACATTTAGGCTTATAGGGTGACTCTCTTGGAGACATCTTGCCACAGACTCAGACTACAGTGCTCAGGCCGGATTAGTCATTCCTAATCCTAGCAGGGTCCTAAGCTAGTTATTACTTTCTGGATCATGACAGAATTTGTCCAGGACCATGCTCTTAACTTATAGGTAAGTCTTATGGCACTTTCGCCTGGCCCATTTCGATGCCAGGGTAGCTCACAGCTTGCCCCAGGTCCATCCAGTGCCTCATCGGGACCCTGCTTTGTGGGATCTAGGAAGGAAGGGCAACTGAGGCTTAAGTCAAGAGAGCAGATGTCCAGGAGGTAATATTATCTGGAGTCTATTAACTCCCAAGTTACAAAAGCACGTCTCTATAACTATCTTCCTGTGTGCAAACTCAAAAAGACAACAGCGGTCTATCTCTCCCGCTGCCTGCGTTCGGTAGTCCCACGCTGGTTCCCCCACCCCGGGGAGATCGAAGGCAATGGGCAGGCAAAGGAAGGAAATGAGGGCCAGGTTAGTTGGTCTTGGTTGCAGTTGATTCCATTCCCATCTCCATTCTCCTCTGGTTCTCCTCCTGCTTCTTCTCCCCCCATGCTACTTCATTCTCCTCCTCAATCCCCCTTTATTCTCCTTCTCGCTCTGGAATCTGGATCTCCTTTCTCCTTCTCCTTCTGGGTCTAGATTCTGATCCCCCAGCCCACTCTTCCAGTCTAGTTAAATCCCCAAACCATGAGGGGTTGAGGTAACAATTACACATAGGTGTGGTCACAATTAATAGGGGTAAAGTTCTTTCCCTCGGGGAAAGCAACTTCTAGGACAGATACTATCTCAGCAGGATGACCCACCCTAGAACTGAATCCCATGGGTGTGTTTCTCCTCTCCTTGTCCAACAAATATATAAGCATTCATAATATTAATCATTTTGTATGGACACAATAAGAAATACATTAAGCTTATAGAATTGCTCTCCTAGGGCCATCTCAATATCAGACTACAGTGCTCAGGCGAGATAGTCTTTCCTATCCCTAGCAGGGTCCTAGTCTCGTTGTTACTTTTGGACCATGACAGGATTTGTCTATGATCAAGCTCTTAACTTAGAGTTAAGAATCGTGGCGCTTTGCCCTGGCCCATTTTGATGCCAGGGTAGCTCACTGCTTGCTCTGAGTCCATTCAGTCCCTCGTCAAGACCCTGCTTTTGGGGTGCTAGGAACTAAGGGCAACTGAGGCTTAAGTCGAGAAAGCAGATGCCCGGGAGTGAATAATATTCAAAGCTAATTAAATCCTAAGTTACAAAAGCATAATGTTAACTGTCTTCCTGTATCTATACAAAAAGGACATTGCTTTAAAGTAAACTATTCATAAGATATAAGGAGAGGAGAAAGACAATGTTTCACTCATACATATAAAATCACAGATTTCTGAGGAATCTGACCTTACAAGTTAACAGAGTCTGATTAGGGGAAAAAGCTGATTAACTGGCTGGGGAGGAGAGCACAGGGAAGAGTTTACAGATAAACACAATGGAATGGAGGTGACTCAGGAGCACTGTAATAAACCTGAGTTCCTTGTGGCAAGGGATAAAGGACAAAGCAATGGCATCCTACATTCCTGTGTCCATACAAAAGGTCATTGTTCTGAAATAACCAACCTCGAAAAGGACATTAAGGAGAAGAGAAAAACAATATTTACAAGTCAACAGAGTCTGATCAGGAGGCAAAGGTAATTGACAGGTTGGGGGAGCAATCAACAAACGCATGGGCAAACCAATGTTATCCTACAACTCACAGCATCATCTCTTGAGTGGTGTATGGAATTACATTGAGCTAAGTAAATTATAAGCGGTGTCCTAGCTCTATCGTGCTGATAATCAGCATCTCCTTCCAGGTTTTCTTACCTGCAGCAGAGACCACAATATCTGCAAGAATTGTATGCTTCTTCAGCTGTTCTTTGGGAGTATATCGATGAGATATTGTAACGGTGGCATCACCTATGGGTTAAAAAACAGTTACCCTGATTTTTGAGTCACAGCTAGATTGGATTCAGTCTCAACGAGACAAACCGCTGCAGGAATTCAAAACTTCAAAGAAAGAAATGGACTTAAATTCATGTGCCATATTTTCTGAGCAGCTGACATTTATCTTTTAAAAACCAAATACCTCAGAGGGATCTTGGCACACTGGTGGTGGGCATGGTGTAGCAGAACTGCAAGTACATAGCCATAATGTTGGTACCACTTTAAGAAAATCTTTTAAAATTTTTGTTTTGCTGTTTTGGGGTTATACCTGGCAGTGCTCAGTGGACCATAGATATCATAGATATGTATTGCTGGGGATAGAATCAGGATTGACTACATGCACAGCAAACACACTATCTGCTATATAATTGCTCCAGCCCTCTATTAAAAAGAAAAAAAAAACTTTAAATGGGGTTAGAGTGATTATACAGTTTGAATAGAGAGCTTGCCTTGCATGCAGCCAACCCAGGTTCAATCCTAGGCACCCCATATGGTTCTCCTGAGCCCACCAGAAGTAAGTCCTAATCCCTGCCAGGTGTGGCCCAAAAGCAAACGAACAAAAGAAAATTTTTCAATACAAGAAACAAGGATGACCGGGGCTAGAGCAATAGTACAGCGGGTAGGACGTTTGCCTTGCACACAGCCGACCCGGGTTCAATTCCCAGCATCCCATATGGTCCCCTGAGCACCACCAGAGGTAATTCCTGAGTGCAGAGTCAGGAGTAATCCCTGTGCATCATCAGGTGTGACCCAAAAAGCTTAAAAGAAAGAAAGAAAGAAAGAAAGAAAGAAAGAAAGAAAGAAAGAAAGAAAGAAAGAAAGAAAGAGAGAGAGAGAGGAAGGAAGGAAGGAAGGAAGGAAGGAAGGAAGGAAGGAAGGAAGGAAGGAAGGAAGAAAGGAAGAAAGAAAAAGAAACAAGTATGATGATACAAGATCTTGGGCACTTTGGTTATAGTGGAGGTCAGTAACTTTTTATACAAAAACGCATGAACACTGACACTACTGTAATCTCAAATAAAATTTTAAAAAATTTAATAAATACCTCAGTTCTTGGATCTTTTACCAACTGATCCTATCTCTATCTTTTACAGTCACATATAACTAAATGCATTCCTTATCCTACTTAACAGCTTTTTAAGAATTTTCCTTTTCTATGTGAAATACCACTAGAATTATTAAAGGTTCCAAAAATGAAGGTATAGTAAATTATCTGGAAATATACAGTTTGTTACCATGATCATATAATAATCACATATGGTAACTCACTTATGAGCTTTTTTTCTCTCAGACAAATTACAGAACTTGACCTAACGATCCATTACAACAATATCAATTCAATCCTTTGCAAAGGTCTAAGATTATTTTCTACCAAATGACACAGAATAGATTACAACTTTAAGACAGCTTGTTAGTTCCAGCTATCAAAGCCAAACTGAAAAATTTCTAATTACTGATAACCCTACTTAAACCTCAAACTTACTTCTATGTGTACACATTTCTATTAGTCTATAAGTAAGTATACATAAACACTCAGGTGATACTGAATTCATCTGCTCAAAAGATTACTCTGCAGCGGCCAAAGCGATGGTACAGCAGGTAGGATGTTTGCCTTGCATGCAGTGACCCAGGTTCAATCCCCGGCATCCCATATGGTCCCCTGAGTCCCACCAGGAGTGATTCCTGAGCATGAGCCAGGAGAAACCCCTGCCAGGTGTAACCCCCCCCCATTCCACCCTCCACATACACACACATAAATTTACTCCCCAAACAGCTGTAAACAAAATGACAAACACAAATTTCAACAAAGTTGGGGCGGGGCTGGAGAGATAGCACAGCGGGTAGCGCGTCTGCCTTGCACGCAGCCGACCTGGGTTTGATTCCCAGCATCCCATATGGTCCCCTGAGCACCGCCAGGAGTAACTCCTGAATGCAGAGCCAGGAGTAACCCTTGTGCATCGCCAGGTGTGACCCAAAAAGCAAAAAAAAAAAAAAGTTGGGGCTGGAGCGATAGCACAGCGGGTAGGGCGTTTGCCTTGCATGCGGCCCACCCGGGTTCGATTTCCAGCATCCCATATGGTCTCCCAAGCACTGCCAGAGGTGATTTCTGAGTGCAGAGCCAGGAGTAACCCCTGTGCATTGCCAGGTGTGGACCCCCCACAAAAAAAGGAAAAAAAAATTCAACAAAGTTAATTGTTCTAAACATCAACAGGGCAGCCCTGAAGGTTCTCCTATAAGAGAAAAGACAGTCCCCTTAAAAAATAATAATAATAAATTAGTTTAAAAAAATAAACAAAAGCAATTTCCTTACCTCCAGGTCGTTCATGTGCCCCATCTGTGTGTAGTAACATTGCAATGGGCATGCCAACATTTTTGGATCTTCCAGCCACGACCACATTCTTCCCTAAGGTTGGAATGCCTGTGAGGAAAACAATTATATGTATGTATATGTACGTATATGTATTTGCTTTATAAGTAGCACCAGACTATTTCAGTATGAGCGCCCAAGGGAAAGCAAGGCTCATGGCCTGGAATGTGAATCTGATTTAGATGACACCCAACAGTCAGGAAGCTGACTGCCTTGTCAATCACACAGCAATCACCATCGCTCGTTATCCAGAGTCGATACTAAAGAAAAGTGGAGAGCGCACCCCAGGAGCTCCAAAATGCCACAGCAATGTGCAGTAGGCCACGCTTAAAGCTAAATTTCTTTCACTAAGGCTGTGGGATTAAATGGTAGCAAAAAGACTCACAGGCCAAGAGAGCAGAGTTGCAGGATTATGAGACCTGGGAATATATCCCAGAGAGGCAAAAAGGTATAGTCGAAGTGACATCTGCACTTGTGTGTTCATTGCAGCACTGTTTACAATAGCTAGAATCTGGAAAAAACCTGAGTGCCCGAGAACAGATGACTGGCTAAAGAAACTTTGGTACATCTACACAATGGAGTACTATGTAGCTGTTAGAAAAGATGAAGTCATGAAATTTATATACAAGTGGTATCACAAGGAAAGTATCATGCTAAATGAAATGAGTCAGAAAGAGAGGGACAGACATAGAAAGATTGCATTCATCTGGGGAACACAAAGTAATAAAATAGGAGACTAACACCCAAGAATAGCCGAGATAAGTATCAAGAGATTTACTCCATGGCTTGGAGGCCAGCCACACATCCGCACATGCTAGGGGAAAAGGCAGCTCAAATAGAGAAGGGAGCGCCAAATAAAGGGTGTTGGGAGGATCCTCACAGGATGGGGAGATGCATGCTGAGTAGACTATAGACCAAACATGATTGCCACTCAATGCCTCTTTTGCAAACCATAACACCCAAAAGGAGAGAGAGACCAAAAGGGAATGCCCTGCCACAGAGGTAGGGTGGGATGGGGGGGGGGGGGGGGGGGGGAAACGGGAGGAGTGGGATACTGGGATCAGTGGTGGTGGAGAATGGGCACTGGTGGAGGGATGGGTGTTCGATCATTGTATAACTGAAACCCAAGCACAAAAATCTGTAAGTCTACAACTGTATCTCATGGTGCTTCACTAATAAAAATTAAAAAAAAAAGAGAGAGATCATGGGAATGGGGGTTCCTACTAGACCACAGTATCCACTCTTGCCATTTTTAAAGTACCCCTTCTATAATAGGGACATACAATTAAGGGCTATACCTACCAGTTCGCTTAATTATTTCCCACACGCCCCATGGGGTAGCCGGTAACATAGAATACTGGTCCAAACACATTCGCCCTACATTGATGACATGAAAGCCATCGACATCCTTGTCCGGAGAAACAGCATTGCAGATTTTTCTCTCATCAATGTGCTCTGTCACAGAAATCACAAGCCATCAATCAGTGTTGTGCAGTTGGCAGCCTCAAGCTGTCTTCCCTGGTTTGTTACAAAAACCTCGTCTACCCTTCCCCAACGTGCTCCGTGATTTCTATGCAGAGAAGGAACACCTAGCAAACAAAACCAAAGGCCCACACCAAAGCCAATGACCTCTTGAACTAGTTCCCTCCACTGTCCTTTCTATCATAAACAGGATTGAGGAGTACTTGAACAATCTGAATAGGTCTCACTCAAATCTAGGAAAATAGTCATGCTCCTGAGTTTACTTCCCTTTTAAGACATATCCACCCAGGAAACCAGTTCATAAATAACCAACTCTTACCACTTCTCAGAAATCATTTCTCTTCCCCACCCCATTCCCTTTCATTTGTTGTTGGCAGTACTTGGAAGACTGGCATTATTTGCCTGTGGTTGTGATGTTATCACATTTGGTTTCACTGCTCAAAAGGGGGAGAGGAGGTGTCACATACTTTGTTGTGGATCTGGGGACCACCACCTATACAACCACTAGGATGAAATCCACAAGGATTAGGATGGAAGGCAGACACTCTGCCATGAAGACGCCCATACTCCTGGGCCCTGTAAAAGCATTTACATGGTGGGCTGGAGTGATAGCACAGCAGATAGGGCATTTGCACTCAACCGACTCGGGTTCAAGTCCTCTGTCCCTCTCAGAGAGCCCGGCAAGCTACCAAGAGCATCCAGCCCACACGCAGAGCCTGGCAAGCTAACCAGTGGCTTATTCGATATGCAAAAAACAGTAACAACAAATCTCACAATGGAGATGTTAATGGTGCCTACTCAAGCAAATCGATGAACAACAGGACGATAGTAATATCCAAACCTTACCTGGCAGAGGCAGCTGAACAAGAAGGCCATCTACATTATCATCATTATTTAGTTTATTAATTAAAATCAATAGTTCCTCTTCTGAAATTGAAGCAGGTTTCAAAATTGTCTCACTGTTGATTCCTAAGAGAAAAGGTCATGGTTAAAAAAAATACAATAGTGAGTGAGCATTCAATGAGCAATGTCTTGGAATTTATCACAGTCTTCTATCATGCCCACCCTGGTAGCTAAAAAAGTTTAAATGAAATTTGAAATAGTAACTTCCCCAATATATACACTAGAGTGGCAGTTCTCAAGCCGCTCTCGATGCCCAAGAGCCCCCAGCATAATCCAAGGAGAAAAGAATGCAAATGGAAGGCCATGGCACAAGACTAGGGGCAGCCAACTGGTAGGATGGTGGGGTACAGGGGTGGCACAGGAGGAAACAGATCTGAAGGGACCTTCAGTCTGAAAAGAGCTGAGAGACACCATTCTAGAGTAAACTAGTTCGACTCTTTCAACATGTTATTCTATGCAACCCTCATTGACCTTGTTCTGTAGACAAGGAGACTGAGACTCAGCAAAACGAAAGCACAAGCCAGTCAGCACTGAAGTCTGTCTGGCCAGTTCCGGAAAGCAAACACGCCCTCACCACAGCACCACGCGACTTCCCAACGTCTTAAAGAAGCATGGCGTATTATGTGCTTGATGTTCTACAGGTTTCGCAGTGAGAAAGGCTGGAGGCCTCTGTCCTCAATGTCCTCCAGAACCACCACAGGGCTACAGTGCAGTAACACCGCCCAGCTGCCTTTCACCCTCCGGAAGGAAAAGACACCCAGAGCTCAGCAAGGAGAGGCCACGCTGAACCCAGCAACTTCTAAGCTACTGGCATGCCAAGTGCAGAGCACAGGAGGAACTAGAACACAGACTCCCAGGCCCTCCCCCGAACCCCAGCCTTCTGCACTGAAACTCCAGTCACTTCTTGAAGACAGGAATGAATTGGCTTTGGAAAGAATAGGTGAAGAAATAAAGAGCAATTTCCCCCGGCTGGTTCTGGCACGCTGCTGGTGGTGGATGTGCACAGCTTTGCACACGGAAGCTAATAACACTGTGGCAAAAACAAAAACTGTTTCCCAGAAGCTAATGTCCTTCACCATTTCTGACGTTCTGTCACTGAGATAGTTCAGTCTTCCTCCCTCACTGCCAGGCTTTAACCTAATGCTCAAAACAACTCCATCAAAGACTCATTACTGCTTAAGGAGAGTAATGTGAACTGTGCTCATAGTAACTGGTCTGACCTTAAGACTAAACTAATATAGCAGGGGGGGCTGGAGACAGTACAACAGGCTAAGGTGCTTGCCTTACATGCAGCTGACCCAGGTTCATTACCCAGCACCCCATTTGATCTCCCAAGCACTGCCATGAGTGAACCCTGAGCACAGAGCGAGGAGTAATCCGAGCAACACCAGGTGTGGCCCAAAAACCAAATAAATAGATTAAACAATGCAGCGTATAATCCAGAAGACATGAGAAAACTAATTGTGTGCTCAATTCGGCAGCACATATACTGAAACTGGAACGACACAGAGAAAATTAGCATGGCCCTGCGCAAGGATGACATGCAAATTCGTGAGGTGTTCCATATTTTTATCTCGGAACCCAGCAGGTTTTGGCAGAAATCCCTCCAGATTTAAGTGTTAAAATTTCGGAATTTCAAAATTGTGTGGCCACTACTGCAGCCACGCGACATCATATGTTATTCTTCACCAAAAATAGAAAACAAATTGTCTACTGTTGCCTTTTCAGTAGATCTGAGTGTTGGGGTAAAATCCCAAATAATAATGGTGGGTCTGGTGTCAAAATATTGAATGTGATCAAAGTAGAGAGAGAGTAAAGTGGAAAGCATCTGCCCGACAGGTAGGGGGAGGGTGTGGGGGGGGGTGGAGAATGGGCACTGGTGAAGGGATGCGAGTTCCATTGTATGACTGAGACTTAAACCCAAAAGCTTTGTAACTGCTCTCAAGGTGATTCAATAAATAAAATTATAAAAAAAAATTTTTTTTAAAAAGGTGGAGTTCACGCCCAATTCAATCAGCTAATCAGTGGCTGAATAAATAGCAGTACTCCTACATTAAGAAAGTAAGAAAGAAAGAAAGAAAGAAAGAAAGAAAGAAAGAAAGAAAGAAAGACAACTAATTGCCTTCGTTCTGCCCTCGTCTATATCAGCCTTCTCAGTAGATGCAGTCCAACTTCTCTATCAAAGTTCTGAGTGCACTTCACCACCCACCTCAGCCTCCTCTGCTGGATTACCCCCAAGAAAAAGGAATCACAAAGCTGCAATCGAGTTTGCCTCAGGAGCCTGAATTCAGCAGCAGTCTGGGTGTGAGAGACGAGTGCCACATACCCACATCCTCTGCTGCCCGTGCTTTGTTGAGGACATAGGAGTGACTTGCAGGATTCTCGCCGACCAGAACCACACTCAGGTGAGGCCGCTTGTTGCCTGAAGCCACCCACTGCTCCACCTCCTGCCGCACTTCCTGCTTGATCTGCTCGGCAAGTTTCCTTCCAGAAATGACAACAGCTTCATTTCTGCAGAAGGCAACAAAGGCATAAAAACCCAGTAAGTTTGAATTTTTGGAAAGACTACAAGGCAGTGCTACTGAGATACCAAAGAGTTGAAATTCAAACTCAAACGTGCAATGTTTACTCTGAAGGACAACCGACAGGATCCGGATAGCAAATCTGGGTCTAGCCACATGTTTAAGAGGATAAAACTGACTGAAGGGGGCTGGAGCGATAGCATAGTGTTTGCCTTGCACGTGGCCACCTACCCAGGACTCTCAGCATCCCATATGGTCCCCCGAGCACCGCCAGGAGTAATTCCTGAGTGCATGAGCCAGGAGTAACCCCTATGCACCATTGGGTATGACCCACAATGAAAGGGGGGGAAAAAAACGGACTGAATTACTGATAGTAACCTAAAACTCAAAGAGTTTACATCGGTGCTGGCACAAACCACAGGCTGCTCACACATGAACATAGCCTAATTAACACCAACTGCAGCACAACCATCAGAGTGAAAAATAACTGAAAGTCAGTGCCTGGTGAAGTTGGGTGTCATTCGAATCTGCCTTCACTGCTACATCCTCTTGATCACTGAGAAACTGAGTTCTGTAGCCTAGCATTCAAATCCCATTTGTGGTGGTCAAACAGCTTTCATTTTTATTGTGCTTCTAAAATGTACTACGCCATTCAAACGAAAACAACAGGCTGGGCAAGTCTAATCACAAATCCCTAAGCAGCCCCTCCTGGGGAAAGGCTTTCCTGATAACAGAAGTCAGAAGGAAAATTAAAAAGGTTCTAGCTTAGGGCGAAAGTGTGTTCTACCCCAGCACCCCGCTGTCCCAGCCCTAGCAAGACAGCCCAAGCGTGTGTGCGAACCCAGGGATAATTTCTAGGCTGGCCAGTGATCCAGTTTGTACAAAAATCTTAGTGCAACAGGAACAGACCACACAGGCAAGAGCCACATCCTTACCCTCGACGGAGGGCCAGTGGATGGAAGCAGCGGAAGACAGAAGCACAAAAAAAGAAAGAAAAAAAAAAAACAACCCAGCAGTCATGTTCTTGATAGAGGAGAAGATAAGATAGGAGAGATTGTGGAGAGTGAGAAAATCCAGGATTTAGAAGAACCTCACTTTCAAAGCCATGTCTGGTCTCTGAAAAGGCTCTCTCCCCAATAAGGATATGCATTGCCGCTTTCCTAGGTTCCATGGTGCAAACTCCGTTTTCTTATTTCTATAGATATGATTACAATCAAGTTCCAGTTAAACTTTCACTTTGGACTTTATTCTTGGTGCGTCTATGCTTACGGCAGATAAGGAGCATTGCCTTGCAATGATCCTGTTCCTCAAGACCGAGAGCATAGTAGTTTCAAACAATTCCCACTTAAAAAACAAATCTAAGGGGTCAGTGCAATAGTACAGCAGATAAGGTGCTTGTCTTGTGTGTGGCCAACTAAGTTTAAGCCAGGCACCACAAATGGTCCCGCTGTCCACCAGGAGTAATTAATACCTGAGCACTGCCAGGTGTACCCCGCCTCCTAAAAAACATCTAATACTCAGGCATAACACACGGTACTGAAAAATATCTTGTAGGATCAGATGTGATTCAATCTCATTGTTAATTTAAAGCTTTAATAGTCTGCTTCTATCAATTCCTCATTTGCATTATGATTAAATGCCCACTTTAAGTCAATCTCAGTCTTTTTTTTTTTTTCCTTTTAGGGCCACACCCGGCGATGCTCAGCAGTTACTTCTGGCTCTGCACTCAGGAATCACTCCTGGCGGTGCTCGTGGGACCTTATGGGATGCTGGGAATTGAACCCGGGTTGCCTGTGTGCAAGGCAAACGCCCTACCCACTGTGCTATCACTCCAGCCCCAATCCAATCTTAGTCTTATATATATATAATGTAATCATTTTATTTTAAGCCTTATATTTACCTGTATTTGCATCTTGTGATGCACTGAAAACAAAACAAAACAAACAAAAACCCATACTTCTGGGTCCAGAGAGATCGCACACAGGTAAGGAGTTTGCCTAGCATGCTAGAGACCCAGTTTGATATGGTCCCTGGAGCACATACAGGATGATGTGAGCACAGAGACAGGATCAAGTCCTGAGCAAGGCCAGTTGTACTGGAATTTGAAAATTGGTCCGGGACATATCTGAGTCCAACTACCTGAATTTCAATCGATGAAACTGAAATAGTTAACATCATTAACCTAAAACCCAGGAGTTTACATGGGTGCTGGCACCTATCACTGGTGGCTCAACCTTGAATATGAATACAGCCGTGTTTTAGCAGCGTCTGCATAGAACGCTGCCAAATGTGAACCAATCAGGCAGAGAAGCCACAGCCCACATTCCAACTTTGGCAAAAGGGCAAATAAAATAATCCAAAAATACATGAAAATTGGAGACTGCTCAGTTCCACAGTACCATCTGTGAACTCATACAGCCTAAAAGGAGCGGCTGCGGTTGCAAGACTTAAGTCTGCTTCTAAAACTGCCAGGAAAGAGGTGCGCAGAAGGAAATCACAGGGACCCCAAGACTTCTTCATCCTGGGTTGAAGAATGGGGGATTTGAAGTCCAGAAAGGAAAGATTTTGAACCCCCCTATGAAAGAATCCAAGTCTTAAGAACTAAATTAGTTAACACCAGACTTTACTAGGAATTAAATGATTTCACAGATGTTTTTAGAAAATTTGTAATTAAAACGATCACTGTCACTGTCCTCCCATTGTTCATCGATTTGCTCGAGCGGGCCCAGTAACGTCTCCATTGTGACAATTGTTACTGTGTTTGGCATATTGAATACGTCACGGGGAGCTTGCCAGGCTCTGCCGAGCGGGGCGAGATACTCTCAGTAGCTCGCCGGGCTCTCCAAGAAGGGCGGAGAAATAGGACTCGGGTCGGCCATGTTGGCCGCTTGCAAGGCAAACGCCTTACCCGCTGTGCTATCACTCCAGACCAATTAAAATGATGAATTGAAAAATCATGATTTTTATGTAAGTATAAAAATTATAAGTAGCAACTTTCCTAATCAATAGCTTACAGTAGAGCGGCAATTTCCCATTAAAACTTAGTATCAGGTATATGGTAAAACTTTCACTGAAGGAAACTGGAGAATAATACAGCAGACAGAGCGTTTGCTTGCATGCAGCCAACCCAGGTTCGATTCCCAGCACCCTGTATGGTTCTCCGAGCCCACCAGGAATGATTTCTGAGTACAGAGTCAGGAGCAAGCCCAGGGCATAGCAGGGTATGGCCTCAAAACAAAAAATTTAATGAGGTAATACAGAAGAATGTTATCTTCTGATTAGTAGAAACAGCAATGAATGAAAAAAGCCAAAGGGGATGGAGTCAACATCTGATAAACAGTAGATAGTTTATTGTCTTACTCTCCCTTACCTCAAGGCCTTTATAATAACCCTGTTTTACAGGAAACTGAGGACAACAGAAACCAGACTTAAATATGCCTCCAAAGTCCACCTTTCCCTATATTCTCCAGTCTTCTAGGCAAGCATTATCTCTTTATTTTTTATTTTAATTTTTTTTCTTTTTGGGTCACACCCAAGCGATGCACAGGGGTTAATCCTGGCTCTGCACTCAGGAATTACTCCTGGCGGTGCTGGGGGGGGGGGGGGGGGGAACCATATGGGATGCTGGGAATTGAACCCAGGTCAGCCGTTTGCACCACCCTACCTGCTGTGCTGTCGTTCCAGCCCCAGCATTATCTCTTTAACCAAAAGGTTTATGTTCCTGAAATCCTCACACCCGACCCCAAAAAGGAAATCATACAGAATTACATGTGTATACATTGCAATGCCAAGTTTCCTCACATGTAGAGGAAATGAGCTTTTCCAGAAAGATAACCCTACCAGTAGAATAGAGGATTTTAAAAGACACTATTGTTTTGTATTTACCACCCAGCAGCAGTAATAAAAGCAATTGTAAATATCAAATACACTTATTGCCTTCTAGAAGATTACTTGCCCATTCAGAAAAGCAAAAGCAGGGCACTGTTACTGCAGAGGGAGCAAACTGCTCTCGCTGTTTTTAAAGGTAGAGGACAGAAAGATGTTAAAGACTCTTTTCAGGGCTGGAGGGATAGCACAGCGGGTAGGGGGTTTGCTTTGCACATGGCCGACCTGGGTTCAATCCCCAGCATCCCATATGGTCCCCCAAGTACTGCCAGGAGTAATTCCTGAGTGCAGAGCCAGGAGGAATCCCTGAGCATCGCCGGTTATGACCACGCCAAAAAAAAGACTCTTTTCAATCAAAGACACAGGTACAGGTGGCCATAACTCACAAAGAGGGAGAACAGGCTGATGCGAGATGGAGATGCAGAGGCAGGTCAGGGTCGGACTGAAGGAAAAACCTTTGACGTTCTTGTCAAGCCTTCCTTTGAAGAATGCATTCATTCGTTCACAGCCTACAGGTAGCGGCTGCAGTTGCCAGACTTAAGTCCCTAGTTCTAAAACTGCCAAGTAAGAAGAGGTGCACAGAGAGAAATCACAGTGCCCCCAAGACTTCGGTCCTTTACCACCTCTGAACTCGCACAGCCTAAAGGGAACGCCTGCTGTTGCAGGACTTAAGTCTGGTTCTAAAACTGCCAGGAAAGAAGAGGTGTAGAGAGGGAAATCAGAGGGCCCCCAAAACTTTGTCCTGGGCCTAAGAATGGGGGATTTGAGGTCCAGAAAGAGGATTTTGACATCACACCAGACACAGACACAGACACAGACAGACAGACACACACACACACACACACACACACACACGCTATGAAAACGCAAGATCGGTTTCCCTTCCCTTTTCCCGCGTAATGCCAGGGCCTCGGTGGACTCCACCTGGCACCGAGCCGCGCAGGATGGGCTGCAGCGAATGCCTTGGGGGACCACAGTTCATCTTCTCCTCTTGGGAGGGGAAGGGAACGGCGCGGACCACACCCACCTTCAGGAAGAAGAGGGAAGTGGGTACCCGGCAGCGGAGCAAGTGGGCCAAAGGATTTCATCAGACTGCACCAACCCCCGGCGCCGCTAGGGTCCCGGAGAGGACTCGACATTCGCCAGCCCTCCCCGGGCGCTCGCCCAAAACTGTGCTCCTGCACCAAAGGCAGCTCCCGGCACCCCACAGGCCAAGAGCTGCCCGCAGGCACTGGCCGGTAACCTGCGGACATTCCTTAGTGCATCGGGGCGCCCCAGGGCCCGCCTGAAGCCTGGGCTCCCGCAGCGTGGGCCCGTCCCGCCGGCAGACCGGCCCCTGGACAATGAGATGCCCCAGGTCGGCCAGACACCGACTCCCTCCAAAACGCGGCCTCCGGGTACCAGCCCACCCCGCCGGGCTGCAGCTCATCACCCCGAACCACCTCCCTAGGCAGCCACCCCGGCGCGGCGTGGGGATGCTGAGACCTGCCTCTGCATGCCTACCGAGCCCGGGCCGGGCCCCCGATGACCTCGGGGCCCCTCGGCTTTGCGCACTGACCCAGCACCTCGAACCTCTTACCGAAGGGCCGAGCGGTGGAAGGGCTGATAGAAGAGACGGCATCTCGGCGCGGGCCGGAGCAGCCGAGCGGCCAACGTGGGCAAAAGAGATGCCGCAGCCATAGCCGGCGCCGGTGCCTGGGCCGGGACAGAAGCGCGCGCGCGGGCCTTGCGGTTATACCGCGGCCTCGTGGCAGGCCCCGCCTCCGAGCGGCCGCTATTGGCCCCTGCAACACCTCACTCGCTTTCTATTGGGCCCTGCTGCAACTGGAGGAGCCGGTTGGTTGTCCCCCCCCTTCAACGTCAGCGAGGTCCCGTGAAGCCCCGCTGGTAGCTGGAACCCCAGAGGCAGCAGCCTGGACCTCGAGGAGCGCGAAATCTCCAATCCGCGCACTAATTGGCTGAGCTTGGCAACCCTGCCAAGCCGCAGCTTTTGTCACCCAAGCCCCGCCAAACCGAGAGAGAATTCGTTCTTTCGGTTTTTCAAGCTACTGTGAAAAGGTGGATTTAAATAACTGGCGGAAGGCTTCAAAGGTAACTCATAGTACCGTGTTCGATTCCCAGCACATCCCATATGGTCCCCTGAGCACCAGCCAGAAGTAATTCCTGAATGAAGAGCCAGGAGTAACCCCTGTGCATTGCCGGATGTGACCCCAAAAAGCAAAAAAAAAAAAAACAAGGATAACTCATAGGGCTGAAAGCGTGTTTTTCATGTGGGAGCCGTGGGTTGGATTCCTGGCCCCAGCAGAAATGCAAAATGCCCAGGTTAATTAGAATTCTAGACAAATTTTTTGAGATGGAAGGGGTTATACTTTAAAAAAAAAAAAAGTATTTTGGGACCAGGCAGAGAGTTCAAAAGGCTGAAGTGCCTACTTTTCATGAAGGAATCTTATGTTCAGACCCCAGAACCACTGGTTCCCCCCCCCCTCCCCCCCCCCGCCAGTACCCTCAGAAGCAACTCCTGACTATCCAGCCCAGGAATAGCTCCTGAGCACCTCCACGTGTGACCCTAAGCCCAAAATAACAGTAATAACGGTACTGGAAAGATAGCACTTGCCTTGCACATGACCAACTCGAGTTCAATCCCTAGGGTCTTATATGGGCTCCTGAGCAATGCCAGGAGTGATCCCTGAACAAAGAGCAAAAAGACAGGAGAAATCCCTGAATACCGCGGAGTTGGGCCCCAAATCAGAAAGATTACCTCTGAGTGTCTACTGTAAGTGGTCCCAAATGTTTCATAGACATTAAGGAATAGGCACTACATAAGCAAAATAACATATTTGCTCCAACACAACGTAGACCAAATTCATAGTGATCGAACACACATCCCTCCACCAGTGCACATTCTCCACCACCAATATCCCCAATTACACACACACACACACACACACACAAACACGTGTTTGCATGCACGCGCACGTGTTTCCCAGCCCTCCCACTACCTCCATGGTAGACAATTTCACCCATACTCTCTCTCTCCTTTTGGGCACTATGGTTTGCACTACAGATACTGAGAGGTTATCATATTTGGTCCTTTATCTACTTTCAGCACACATCTCCCATCCCCAACGATTCTTCCAAGCATCATTGTCTTGGTGATCCCTTTTCAATTCCAGCTGCCTTTTCCCCAGCTCATGAGACAGCCTTCCAGCTATAAGGCAATATTCCTGACCCTATCTCCACTGTCCTTGGATGTCAGTCTCATATTATGTTATTTTATATTCCACAAATGAGTGCAGTCATTCTATGTCTGTTCCTCTTTTTCTGACTCATTTCACTTAGCATGATACTCTCCATGTCCATCCACTTATAAGCAAATTTTCATGAATTCATCTCTCCTAACAGCTGCATAGTATTCCATTGTGTAGATGTACCAAAGTTACTTTAACTAGTCATCTGTTCTCGGGCACTTGTGTTTTCTTCCAGATTCTGGCTATTGTGAACAGTGCTGCAATGAACATACAGGTGCAGATGTCATTTATACTGTGCTTTTGTGAACCTTCGGGATATATTCCCAGAAGTGGTATTATGAGGTCATATGGAAACTCAATTTCTAGTTTTTGAAGGAATGTCCCTATTGTTTTCCAAAAAGACTGAACCAGTCGGCATTCCCACCAGCAGTGAAAGAGTGTCCCTTTTTCTCCACATCCGTGCCAGCACTGGTTGCTTTTGTTCTTTTGAATGTGTGCCAATCTCTGTGGTGTGAGATGATATCTCATTGTTGTTTTGATTTGCATCTCCCTGATGTGGAGCATTTTTTCATGTGCCTTTTGGCCATTTGTATTTCTTTTTTGAGGAAGCTTCTGTTCATTTCTTCTCCCCATTTTTTGATGGGGTTGGAGTTTTTTTTCTTGTACAATTCTACTATTGTCCTGTATACCCTGGATATTAATCCCTTTTCAGATGGGTATTGGGTAAAGATTCTTTCCCATTCCGTGGGCTCTCTATGTATTTTGGTCACTGTTTCTTTTGAGGTGCAGAAGCTTCTTACCTCTGTCTAATACCAGGCACAAAATTCAGATCAAAGTGGATTAAAGACCCCAATATCAGACATGAATCCATAAGGTACGTGGAGGAAAATGTAGGCAGAACCATTTCTGACATTGAAGCTAAGAGCATCTTTAAGGATGAAACACCAAGCAAATGGAAACAAACATAAACAAATGGGATTACATTAAACTCAGGAGACTTCTTGATATTGTTTGCACACTTATCTATTTCTACTAGCATTACATGGACTTATTTAATTTAATTAACTTATTTCTTTGTATGTGGAGTCAGATTTTGAAACGACAGCTTTCACTCATTCAAGGTCTCACATCTACACCAGAATCATATCCCTGACAAGTTTACTTAACAAAGATAATTCACCTACCATGACTCAGCTTATTCATACAAATGAGTAAGTTTTTGTTGTTGTACTTGTCATATTTTATTGGCACCATGTTCATCTCTTTACAGAAGAACTCAGGCCACACCCTAGTATAGACCTCTGGGAGAGGGGAAAAAGCTGCCTCTCTCAAGCTTCAATGCAGGGCTGATCCCAGGGAGGGCCTGAACTGCCAGGGTTCCATACCAAAGAGACGTTGTTCATTGGTAATGGGCAATAATGGGGGGCTGGGGGCAGGGGCAAGAGGAGGAAAAAGTCTGCTAACCTAAGGCTATCATGCTGCTAATCAAAGCACACTAATGACCACACATCTACAAATAATCACTCTAATTATATCTGAGCTTTATTACACACTTAGAATAGGTCAGGCTCTGTTTTAAGCTCTTTGTGTCTATTGTCCTATTTAATTCTCACAATGACTCCATAAAACAAGCATTATTTTCTCCATTTTACAGGGGGTGGGGGAAATAAGGAGCCAGGGGTATGAAGAGTAAGTCCAAGGTCTCAAGGGGACCTTATAAGGGGAAGAGGAAGGACTGAACCAGAAAGGCTGGCTCCAGAGTCTGTGTTCTAATCTTAACTACTATTTATTGACATTTATTCTTAGCAGACTCTGGATTCAGAGCTTCAGGGACCTGGAGAGATAGTACAGCAGTTAAGGTACTTCCTTTGTGAATGCAATCAACCCAGTTCAGTCCTCAGGGGTCCCCCTGAGCACTTCCAGGAGTGATCCCTTAGGATAGAGTCAGAAGTAAGTCCCAAGGCGGCTGGAAAGATAATACAATGGTAGGGCATTTGCACGCAGCCCTCCCAGGCTTGATCACTGTCATCCCTTAAGGTTCCCCAAGAATGATTCCTGAGTGCACACCCAGGAGTAGCCACTGAGCATTGGCAGATGTGGCCCAATATAAAACAAAAAAAGTTCTGAGCACTGCTCCACTCCCCACCAAAAAAAAAAAAAAAAAAAGAGGCGGCAGGGAGAGAAACTCATCCTAAGCAGGTTTCAAAGGACAATTGTGTTAGCCGAAATGTCCCCAGGGGATTTAAGCCAGAAATATGACTTATCTCTTTGTGTCGGAAGCTCTGACTCATGAAAAAGCCTCTCTTGGTGTGTGTGTGTGTGTGTGTGTGTGTGTGTGTGTGTGTGTGTGTGTGTCTAACTAGGTACTGAACCCAGACTCATGCAAAGTGAGTGCTCCATCACTGAGCTACACTGAGCTACAAGAGCTACAAGCTCTTCTCCTTGCCTTTAGAACTTTAGACTAGAATCCTCCTATGACCCTGGGGAAAGGAGGACTAGATGTCTATTGAGACTTTTTATTTAGTCTTAAGATAGTCCATCTCAGGGGCTGGAATGATAGTACAGTGTGTAGGGCATTTCCCTTGCACACAGCCAACCTGGGTTCAATCCCCAGCATCCCACATGGTCCCCCAAACACCACCAGGAGTAATTCCTGAGTGCAAAGCCAGGAATAACCCCTAAGCATCCCAAGGTGTGACACAAAAAGAAAAAAAAAGTTTAAAGTTAAAAAAATCAAGATAGTCTATCTTGATTTTAAAATTTTAAAGTTATCTTGATTTTCAAGTTTTAAAGTTAAAAAAATCAAGATAGTCTATCTCAGCTCCTAGAAACATCATACAGAAGGCTGGAAAAAATGTTCAGTCATATATAGACTTCTATTGCATAGGTTATTTATAAATCAATGGGTAGGGTGTTTGAGCATGTATGTGCATGTACTTGCATTAAATACTGGTTAAGGATCCTGTGGTTGGAGAACATTTGGTTTTTGGGGAGAGGGTCTCACTGGATGTTGCTCGGGGGTTACTCCTGGCTCTCCTCTCAGGGATCACTCCTGCAGAATTTGGGGAAACCATACGAAGTGCTAGGGATCAAATTCATGTCATCCGTGTGCAAGGCAAACACCCTACCTGCTGTACTATCACTCCATTTGAAAAATATTGGCCTTAAATCTTGGAGACTTAGGCTCCTTTCTTTAATTGTAATAATTTTTTAGTTTTGGCACCCTGATAATAAAGTGATGTAAAACTTTTTATCTTGTATACCTCTTAACCCTCGGTAGGTCTTCTTTGAGGAAGTTTCTGTTCATCTCTTCCACCCATTTTTTGATAAGATTGGTTACTTGATTATTATAAAATTCTATCAGTGCATTATATGTTTTGAACATCAACTCCATCAAATGAGTGGTGGGCAAATATTTTCTTCCTTGTGTGGGTGTCTTTTTATTCTGGTTATTGTTTCTTTTTAAGTGTAGGTAGGTTCC